ATCTCACCCCTCACCCATCCCCTCCCCTCAGCGGCCCCTGCACAGCTTGTGTGTGTCAACACTTCTGGGTTTGGGGAAAGGCGTCGCGCTAAGCCCCCGCATTGACCCCAAAAAAAAAAGAAGAAGAAGAAATGTCTAGCCATCCGGCGCGCGGCGCAACATGCGCTTATTCACTCATTCATTCACTTCATTTACCGAGTTACGCATACGCACACTCACACTGACACTCACGAATGCGATTGTGAATGTGAATGTGAATGTGAATGTGAATACAAGCTGTGGGCTGGCCCCTGTTGATGACATCAATTTGCGTAAATTGTGCTAGGAAAACGTTGCCGGAAACTGACAGACTAATGGAGCGGAAGTTTTTCCAAAGCATTCAAATGACTGCCACACACACATACACACACGCACAAACACACACATGCACACACATAGCCTCACACAGCAGCGATACCTTAACCCTTGCCTGCAGCTGGGCAAAGCGTCAACTAGATATCCTGGCAGTCAGTCAGCCAGCGCCATTGCAGTTGCCCACTTTCAAGCGCAATTCAAACAGCATTCAGATGAGCCTCCTCTCTCCCATCTCCCTCTCCCTCTCTCTCTCTCTCTCTCTCTCTCTCTTTCTCTCTACCTCTTTCTGTTAATATTGACTGTTATTTAGCAGCGCTCTGCTAATGAAGCCTGCTGTTGCCAGCAATTAAACAGCAGATTTACTTTAATGTAATTGTCTCGCTTTCGCTCTCTTAATCCACTGTCTCGCTCTCGCATGCTCTGTCCCCCCTCCCCCTCTGCCGATGTTCCGCTTAATTTGTTGTGCACGTTGCGAAATTAAACTTGTCTGTTGTGCATTGAAAATGTCACCAAACACAGTTCTCGCATCCCCCACCCCCTGATCTGGCGAGTTGGCAGTCCCAATTGTTGGCAGCCCCGCATGCAAAAACGTAAATTTTATCAGCATCAGCATGAAAATGTCGCCGCATATTAACCTGTCATCCATCACTTTTGATACTTTAGCATTGTCGCGTTTCATTTCTACCTGGCCAGGGACTATGTGCGTCAGCGAGGGGGGCGGCACGGGTGGGTCTCTGGTGTGGCACACTCTTAACCCGCTACTGTTGTTGCTGCTGTTGCTGCTGTTGCTGCCTGCTGCCTGTTTCCATGTCACGCAGCAAAAAGGGTCAATTCCGTTGCACGACACACAAAAGGATAACGAGCGCAATATGAGTTGGCATTATAATACAACAGCAACAACAGTGGCTACAACAACAGCAACAACAAGGTTGAATGACAGCGCATAACACAAAGAGAAAATAAAATGGCGTCGTCGCTGCTTCTGACGAGGTTGTTGTTGCTGTTGCTGTTGCTGTTGCTGCCTCTGCATCTGACGATAGAAATGCCAATGATGCTGCTGCTGCTGACGCTGATCCCCAAGCAACAGTACAAAATGTAAACAGATAAAAAAAGTATATGTGTATGTATATATTATAAGCTTCAAGGTTTCAGTTTACAGTTTAACAATTTTACAGTTTTATTCAATAAACAGTTGATACTTCATTTGATTACCGTTGCGAATGTTAAAGTGTTGGCTGTAAGAGCGCATAACATACGAGCAGCGTTTGCTGTAAGCGGCTAACAGAGCGTTTACATAAATGCGGCAGACAGTGTTGAGTAACAAACTCACACTCAGGCTTCTTAAAATATATTTACTTGCAAAAATGTAAGCACGAGCTCGGCTAAGCTGCAAATCGCAATATTTGCACTATGATTTACCTATTTGACAGGATTTTCACTCTAATCTTATGCATATGTTATGTTTGTGTAAAAAATAGTCCACTAACTTGATAAATAATATGCACTTTACATTTATTTCACACACTTTTTTTTTTGCTGCTGCGGAAGTAGCGCTGCGTTTACATCAAACTACATAACAAATTCGCAGCAACACAATCACAAGTACCTTGGACGGGGATGGGGGCGGGTTAATATGGGGCATTGCCTCTAAAATGGCACACACACACACACACACATACGCTAGACACCTCCCACACACCGCCACACCCACTGCTTCCCCTTTGCAGCCCGCCAGCCAAGCTGTGGCTTAACCGTTGATGTGGTTCTAGATAACTTTGGCATAGCTAAAGGCCAAGTTTAGAGCCCGACTGTGTGAGTGTGTGTGTGTGTGTGTGTGAACTATGCTGATGGCGCATCAGTTTATCCGGCATATGAGTATGTGTCTGTGTGTGTGTGTGTGTGTTTTTATGACTAAAATTGTAAATTATGTCAACTGGCCACGACCCACAGAGCTCGTTATAGTTGGTGTGCGATATCCACACACACACCCTCAGACACACACACACACACACACACACGGGAGCACAGAGCGCGACATAGGTCTAGTCTAACAGCTACACGAAGCTAATGAAAATTTATTGATAATAAATTTAATATGTTTTGCGGCTGCGTGTTTTATGTGCATGTGCATACACACACACGCACACACATACATATATAAATATATAGATGTATAAAGTATTCATAGACATATCCTTGGAGCTTTGCATTTTCCATGTAATCGACACTCAACGCCCGCACATCGCAAATCGCTTTGGGGCTTTAGCTGGAGTTGGGCGTTTTATCGGGGTTGTTTTTTGGCTTTTGGGTGGCTGGCTGTGCCAACTAGTCATAATTAATTTATTGTAATTAAATGATAAAAGCTAAATTTGTGGAATAACGCCGGGATGGCACAGCTGTTGCAGCTGATGCTGCTCTTGCAGTTTGTAATGCAATCCGCCTCGATTGCGTGTTCTCTTTGCTTTGTATTTACTTCTTCTTTTTTTTTCTATATACACAACACAGCAGCAATTGAAGCCACGCCCACTGCCGCCACCCCTTATCTGCAGCCCCAGCCCTGTTCGTGCAGCGTCAGGCAGCATTTCTGTTGACATTTCATTGAGTCTCAAGCTCAAACTTCATTATGTCCTGCAGCGTCTGGCGCCAGTGAGGGAAGCTCATGTCGTGTCATGATGCCCCTCCCCCCTAACCGCTGTGCGTGTCTTCTTCTTGTGCTTTATCTCACAGTGTGTGTGTGTGTGTGTGTGTGTGTGTGTGTGACTTTGTCTAAGTTTGTTTGCATAACCTATTTGTATAAATATTTTGCCTTTTATTGATGGCTCTGGCGACCTTTCCATATTTCAATATTTATTTGTTGGCTGGCTCGAGGTCCGTGTTTGTTAAAACAAACAATGAAAAACAATTTTATTCAATTCTCTTCCGATATATTTCGGTAAATCGAAGCTAAAAACAAGGATTAGTCAACATAAATCGGACTTCAAACTAAGACATCAAAATAATATACAGAAAACAGCACTTATGACCCATTGTATAAGAAGCAACCACACACCAAATTTTGATGAAACAACAATCTTACAACAAGAACAACACTATAACAAGCGACACACATTGGAAATGCTACACATAATTAACACACCAACCTACAAACGACTAAACTACAAGACAGACACAGAAAATTGCGCTCACTTGTACAGACACCTCTTAAACAGTCAAACAACCTCAGTAACAATCTCCACGTCAAAAAGCGCAGACGTGTAAAATAATGTATGTAAAATGTTCGAAATAATGTTTAATTTATTGTATTATAATTGTTAATTGTTTTTTGTATCTTGGTGTTAGTGCCCTGAAGACGGTTTGCCGATGTGCAACCGAAATATATCGGAAGAGAATTGAATAAAATTGTTTTTCATTGTTTGTTTTAACAAACACGGACCTCGAGCCAGCCAACAAATAAATATTTTGCCTTTTGCTGCGCTCTGTTGCTCAACTTATTTGCACGTCTCCAACGCCAACGCCAGCGGCGAAGGCAAAGGCAGCCTCCCCCTCTTCCATTCCTGCCAAACCAGCTGCCCCCCAGCCCCTAAGCCTTCTGGATGGCCTCCTTGATGGCCTGCTTGTTGCTCTGCAACTCTCATTGTTGTTGTTGCTGCTGTTTCGCTCTGTTTCTCTGTTTTGTAGGTGATAACAATGTTTGTCTTTATTTCAGCAGCAAAAACTTTACTCTTAACATTTTCACTTAAACTTGCTCAACAAATTTGGTTTATTATTATATATTTTATAGTTTGGCACGTGTGTCTCTGTGTGTGTATGTGTGTGTGTGTGTGTGTGTGTGTGTATAGGTGTGTGCTGTGGAATTTTTGCTGCTCTCGGGCAGATTTTGTGGGCAGCCAGCAACAGACCCAGTTAAATTCAACGTGTCGAAATTTCACTACACTTGCAGAAAATGCAAAATTAATTGTTGCTTAGCTGCATAATATAGTCGGCTGATCCCAAGCCGAAGCCTTTAAGCACTAGTGTAAACAAATTTTGTGTAGTTCACTTTGAAAACAAACAGAAAAGGACAACCAAACGGACTTTGCATGCAATCACTTTTTTAGGCTAATATTTTACATACCTTATGCCTCCACATATTTCATTGCATAATCATAGTACTCCATGCTAGAGTATTAGATATTTGACATGTTAACATGCAAAATAAAAACTCGCAACTATTTGTCACATATATTTTAAGAGCTCCGCAAACTATGGGAATTTGCAGTCCTGTTTTGACCGACCTTTAGCGTGTTATAAAAATACCACTAAAATTCATACATGGATATAAAATATCTAAACTTTCCGAAAGCGACATCAGCAGTTGAACAAAAGTAGCCCCAACAGTCAACTTAAACGCAATTAATTATATTTTCTACCGTCTCTGAATTGACTATCAATTATTTGAATAAATATATTAACCAAACCAAATTGTTGACAGTTAACAAAAATGTTAACTCTTTTGTATTAATGCGGATTTTCAAAGGATTCACTATGCTGTGAGCACAGGGTACAACTCTATCGATTGAACTTTATTACCCGATATATAGGAATTTAAGTTTTATAAAAATAAAAATTTATTTGAAAAAAATAATTGTCTTTTTTATATTTTACAGCCAAATTTTCCGCGCGCTCGGATGACCCTTGGCTATACAATATCCCAAATAATCGTATACAATGCGCTACCGTACCCAACGACACAACAACAATGTTTCCCAGTTGACTCACGTATCCTTGGTCATGCCATACCATAGATATAGTCCTGGTAAACGTCCAAATTCCTGTAATATTCGCTCGCAAATGGCTTCAGCTGGTATACAGCCGTTTCTTAACAGGGACAGCGAAAGTATGCAAAACAAACTTGCGGTTTCTGATTTGACAATCGACTAATATATTTGCTGCTACCGCATATGCAATGTAATTATTCTGCAAGTAGAGAGAGGCTTACATAAAACACCTGCCTAAAAGTATGCAATATTGTTATTTAAACTTTAATTTCGATTAAAATCTTCATACTGCGTTATGGGATTTGTACTTCATAAAATGAGTAAAAAATCAATAAAATAAAATCATTTTTGGAGGTAGTTCAATGTTATAATTTTGAAAATAAGGTCGAAATTGCTGTATGTTGCTACAATGTGTATATTGTGAATGGTTTATTATTATGCACTGCCCAAAAGTATGCAGTAGAAAAGCTACTCTAATAGGCTCAAACGAATTATGTGGACATCACAAAACTATGCAATGCTTTCCTTTCCTACTATGTCCACAACCACACGATTTTTTTTGGAAAACTTTAAATGGTCACATCTCGGCCAAATAAAGCCCGATAGAGGCCAGAAAGGGAGGGGCTAGTCGGGGAGGTCCGTAGAATCCGCCAAGATCGACGGCGAAATTATGTCGCTTTGAAACGTCATATCTTCAAGGTTTTTTTAGAGCGGCGGAGATATGTCGTTTCAAAGCGACATAACTTCGCCGTTGATCATGGCGAGATTATGTCGTTTTAAAGCGACATATCTCCGCCGCTCTAAAAAATCTTGGAGATATGACGTTTCAAAGCGACATAACTTCGCCGTTGATCATGGCGAGATTATGTCGTTTTAAAGCGACATATCTCCGCCGCTCTAAAAAATCTTGGAGATATGACGTTTCAAAGCGACATAACTTCGCCGTTGATCATGGCGAGATTATGTCGTTTTAAAGCGACATATCTCCGCCGCTCTAAAAAATCTTGGAGATATGACGTTTCAAAGCGACATAACTTCGCCGTTGATCATGGCGAGATTATGTCGTTTTAAAGCGACATATCTCCGCCGCTCTAAAAAAATCTTGGAGATATGACGTTTCAAAGCGACATAACTTCGCCGTTGATCATGGCAAGATTATGTCGTTTTAAAGCGACATATCTCCGCCGCTCTAAAAAAATCTTGGAGATATGACGTTTCAAAGCGACATAACTTCGCCGTTGATCATGGCGAGATTATGTCGTTTTGAAGCGACATAGCTCCGCCGCTCTAAAAAAATCTTGGAGATATGACGTTTCAAAGCGACATAACTTCGCCGTTGATCATGGCGAGATTATGTCGTTTTAAAGCGACATATCTCCGCCGCTCTAAAAAAATCTTGGAGATATGACGTTTCAAAGCGACATAACTTCGCCGTTGATCATGGCGAGATTATGTCTTTTTAAAGCGACATATCCCCGCCGCTCTAAAAAAATCTTGGAGATATGACGTTTCAAAGGGACATAACTTCGCCGTTGATCATGGCGAGATTATGTCGTTTTAAAGCGACATATCTCCGCCGCTCTAAAAAAATCTTGGAGATATGACGTTGCAAAGCGACATAACTTCGCCGTTGATCATGGCGAGATTATGTCGTTTTTGGATGGCAATCGATGGTCGGCATCCGTACGAGTAGAAAGAGGTATATCATTCCGCAATCGGACTGAATTTAGCCGAGCTATTTGCATTTTAATATTTAATCAAATTTTGCTACAAGGTGTTATTGTGAATGGTTTATTTTTATGCGCGGCCCAAAAGTATGCAGTGGATCAGCTACTATTATGCGCCCAAGAGTTTTATGTGGATAGCACAAAAGTATGCAATGCTTTGCTTCTATGTCATAAGGTATTGGGTGCATTAAACTTGAGTCGCAAAAACCCATGGTATTAAAAAAAAGTTTTTTATTTTGAATATTTTATTTATTCATTTTAACATAAACACTAGTTGTTTGCATATATATTTATATATTTTTCGCTTAACAGATAAATACAGACAACACACAATTATATAACTTATTTTCTAAGACTTACGCTAAGGCCAAGGGCCACTTTTTCTGGGTGGAGTTCTGGTACTGACGTCCATCGTCTTGCCCTGCTGTTTACTTTTGGTAACTTCCGCCACTTGAGCTGTAGATGTGCCAGAGTATGAGCTGGCCATGGGAATCAGAAAATCTCAAGTGTAGATAAAGCCATAATTCCTGCATGCCGATCGATAATGTCCTTTGGAAATCTGCAAAGATATGTCGATATTTATTTATTTGAATTGCCAAACACAAGATAATGAAGAAACATACTGAATGAATCTGAAGAGCAAAGCAAAATTGTTTTGCTTTTAAATTGTATTTACTTCTTTTATTTACGGCCGTACTTTCAAGCTTTAAAATGTGTGATATTCTCTTGTTGGAAGCAGCTTAGAAACATTTTACCGTGAACATTTCTGAAGCTGCAACTGCCTATGTAAAACTAAATTTAAATAAATATTTTTTTTTCTTAACGAAGCTAATTTAAAGGATAAATACGAATTGATGCGCTCAGGGTGAAACTGTAAGAAAATACAGAGATACATAATATTATATATATTTATTTAAAATTTATTTATTACTATAAAGGTCAGTTTTTAGCTCTGCAAGTAATACGTAAAAGTGGCTTAAAATTGAACTGAAATATATTTGACTGCGAAAGGATTTTTTATATGAAAATTCAGTTTCTATGCAGGCAACAAGCTATTTAATGAATGTTAAAGTTTGTGGTGGCAAAACAAACAGTAATTTTATTGGTGCATACTTTCAGGCAGCACCAATAAATAATCCACCCAAGGGCTAATCGCAGACAAAGGCTGCTTGCTATATCACAATCAAATAGCGGGCTTGTGCGAAGTGCTTATGCAAAAGCAATTTTAATGGCCAGCGATTTGTTGACACTTACTCGACGAATCGAATATAGCCCATTTAAGCCAACAAATTAACGTGTCCTGTTCTACTTAGCCGTTTGATCCCCCATGGCAAATGGCGACAATGCAATTTACGCGCCTGTAAGCAGCTCAAGACAAGAAGCAAATGGCAAACGCCAAATGCCAATGTGCAAGCATGCCACTTAATGAATTGTCAAACACTTTAAGCCAATAAACGCAGTAATGGCAACACACACACACACACACACACACAAGCAGACATTACATGCAGTTGAATGCGAGTAAAACAGGTGCTAGGGGCAGGAAGAGACAAGCTGCATTGACAGACGCTTAGCAATTGCAAGGCGTTTAGCTGTAAGAGTTGCAAAAGTTGTGCCATGCCAGACACCAACTTTTACCTATATACACACGCACACACACACACAGTCATATAGTTGAGGACATTTGTCACAGTGCTTTGGCTTTCTTTTTTTTTGCTGCTGCTGCGGCTATGACTGTCAGCGAAACTTTGCTTTGCCCTGCGCTTCTTTTGACATTCGACGGCAGCAGCAGCAGCACCAACAACAACTCAAGTGTTTATGTTGGCCGGAAGACATAAAAGCATTGCGTTGGCCCCGTCACTGCCAGAGCTCGGAGCAGGCCAGCCAGTCGATAGTGGAGCAATGCCAGCGACACGCAACCGCAACAAATCCAACGGAAATCCACTTTAAAGTTAGCTCGCACAGCACAGCGGATAGAAGAAGCAGTGCAAGTTGCCCCGCACACACACACCCCGACTGCCCCTCCGCATACATATCCGGCAACTCCTTTGGCAATGCTGCACTTGCACTTGCCACGCTGTCAAGTGTTGTTGAGCACGCGATGGACACACGACGCCCAAGACAATCAGACAAAAGACCAACAAAAGACACAGCTCGAGCAAGAGAGCAAGCTACAAATGCACACACACACACACATATATATATATATACGTATACATATATATAGACTAAATCCTTGTCATTTTTCATTGAGCAATAATAACAGAAGCGAAAAGAACTGAATCGAACTGAATCGAACTGCATTGAGTTGGGGCGACAAAAGCGAAAGTGTCTGTTAAATGGGTTTATGTGACCCCAACTATGCGTGCTGTTGGTGCATTCTTATGGTTTACTTAGGGCTACAACAACTAAAACTATAGAGCTGCAGCTCCCATATATGCTCCGAGCCAGACAAGCTGCACAAACCATTGAACAATGAACGCACGAGCTGCCTTAAACAATAAGAGTCCGAGACTATAAAACACATGCATGCTCCTGTTTTGTGGCTTTGCGAACTGATTTAAAAGTAAGCTTCATAATAGAGTGGATATGATTGTTAGCTCTCGATCATATAGTTGAAATAATTATATTTTAAAGCATAATTATAAATTACAACACTCATGTCAACATAAATTGAAGCACCTCTTGTGAATCAGGCGGAGGAAAGAATTTCAAACAAATAGTTCTCTCCTGTTGCTTAAGTTCGTAAATTAAATACTTAAAGACACTTTAAATAAATCAAAGATATATATATATAGTTTTAACTTATGAAAGAAATTTATAATTCTTTCTAATAAAATTTGTTACTTGTTTAAGTTAAATAAAATACACAAGAAATAAATTAAATATAAAAATAATTACACATGCATATAGATAAATATTTCTAAGGAGGATGAGCTTGCGCTCGTGTAGAACCTTTCAGCAAATCCTTTTGTAATGCGATTTTCTATTCCAATTCGAAGCCTAAATTGCATTTGGAACTAAATTCAAAGCAAATCAAAGGCAAAAAAGCTGATTAATATATTTGCACTCATAGGAAAACTAAGTGGATTTTAATTAACAAGCAATATTCTGCGAGTGTTTTATGCATCTATGCGATAAACTGAGATAAGTCAGCATGGGGAATATTAAATGACAGCTTATAACATAGAAGAAGGGCAAATGTTAACTCAAAAATCGAACCAATAGAATCCTTGCGACAGGATTGTTGACAAAAACATATTTTTCATGAGAGCAGGAATTGTGAAGCTCTCATGAAATACCAAAATGTCATGTATGCATGCAAAAGGGAAAATCACTTAAGCTGCAAATATGCATATCAATGGCATATTACAACAGCAACAACAACAAGCAGAACAACAATAAAAGAAAGAAGAACAACAACAACAACTGCGATCAACAATAACAAATACAAC